ATAGTGATTATTTCAAATATTGGATTTTTAAAATTTTTAGATTTAATTTATAGATACATAAGGAAAATTTAATTATACTGGCTCACAATCCCCTATGTGATTCCACTGGAGCAAGACATAAATGAGAACTCAGAATTTTATAAATTGTATAATGGTAATGAAGTACTTAGATTACATATTAACTAATACTCCCAGCACATTCTGGACTATTAAGCTGATTAATATCTCTGCACCAAAAAAAAAAAAAAGTAAATGGTTTACTTCATGTCAGTTCAGGTGAGGTTTTGTCACCAAATAAGTTCAGGTCACTGCTTCCGGCACAACCAATCCTCACACCTGACACAGAAACTAAAGGGTGGGCTTGTACACTCTGCAAACCAATCAGAATCATTCTCTACTTCCTACTTCATGGAGAGAGCATTTCTGAGAATGTTTGGATACAAAGGAAAATAATGGTGAGAGATGGAGACATAGAGATATGGCCCTGATAGAAGTTTTGAACATCAAAAATCACTTCTACCTGCAGACAGTTCTATCCCTAGACTTCTGTGAGCCATTACCATTGATTGATCTGGCTTTCTGTCATTTGCAACTAAAAGAGTTCAGGCAAATTCTGTATTAAACACAAATCCCAAGGACTTTTCAATAGGCTAGAAAGACAACAAAGATGCCTGCTATCACCGTAAGTGTGCTATATTTGACGTGAGAATGTTAGCCAATACAGCAAGGCCAGAAAAAGAAATGAGGTATAACTACTAGGAAAATAATACAAATTAACATTATTTGCAGATAATGTGATGAAAATGCAGAAGAATCAATACATTAATAAAATGAATAGGATAATTCTGAAAAAAATCCACTCAAATCACACACACACACACACACACACACGCACGCATGCACGATCTAGGAATGAGCTTAATAAAAATTTTGGAATGTTTTATATAAAGGAGTCATGCAAATATTTGAGTTAGAAAACAAAATTCAAAGCCTCTGAGATGAAAGCATGCTTGGAATGTTTGAGGAACTGCAGGAATGCCCGGTATGGCTACCCCAGGGTGGATAAGGGGGCGTGTAGTAAATGAGGTAGGAGAGGTAGGGAGGTGGGGAAGATCATGGAGGGTCTTAGAAGCAGCTCTAAGGACAGTGACTCCTACTCTGGGTGATATGGGGACCTCCTGATGCCTTCCAGCCAGGGCTACAGTAATCTGCTTTACGTTATCATAAGATGGTTGCTGGGCTGACAATAGGTAATGGGCAAACAAAGGAGAACAGTTAAAAGAATATTGTGATAATACACATAACAATAACAGCAACTGAAGATGGTGATTTAGCAGTAGAATTAGATTTAGCAGTACAAAGTAAACAGATCCCAGACAGATTACAAAAATCACTAACAAATCTCCATAACATGTTCACACGCAGCCCAGTGTGCACATTTTGCTCATTGTTATGTAAAACTGTATTTACTAATAGCTAAAGGAAAGTCAAGAAGAATAAGTAAATGATATCAAATCATTGATTTAGTATGTATTTATTGGGTACAGCATCCATGTGTTAGGCACTAAGCGAGGCCATGGGATAGGGAAGAGGACATAGTTCTTGCCCAAAGGAACTCGTGGTTACATAAGGGAGAAAAAACAACATGGTAAAATAAAAGTTGTAAAACCTTATACACACAGGATCATCTCAGAGCAACATCTCCAGCCTTCCCCACCCAAAGGCATTATGACATTCACTGGTTCCCTAGAGCTCCCTTGATCAAACCAAATTTTCAGTAAGGTCTCCACAGTCTGGCTTACCTTTACACTCTTCTTGCTCTCTGTGCTCTGCCACAGTGGCTGTCGGCTTTCTTCAAGTCCCTTAAACTGGACATGCCACATTCATTTCAGCTGCAGGGACTATGCATGCACTGTTCCATCTGCAGAAAGCACGCTTAGCGCTGTCTTGACCTACACAACTCCAGCTCCTCCTTCAATCTTACCTCCCTGATATACTCACTGATGATTTCCCTGATTAGGTCAAAGTCTCCTGTGATGAGCTTTCATACCATTCACCTCCCCATGGTAACACTTACCACTGTTTTACATTTATGTAAATATAAATATTTGACTTTGGTTAGCTAAAGTCTTTTCTACTGAACTGTAAGGTGGGGGGGACTATATTGTTTTTAACTTTTTTAAAATGCTCCAGTGCTTACATGATTTTACAACTTTTAGTTTACCATCTTGTTTTTTCTCTGTCATGGGACTATGAGCTTTTTGGAGCAGAAACTGTGTCTTCCTTTCTGTCCCATGTCCTAGCTTAGTGATCAAACACATAGATCCTGCACTTAATAAATCATATTAAACCAATGAATTGGAATTACTATATCATATCCCACATTACTAGAATCCTGCTTGGCTCACAGTGGAGATTCAATAAATATTTGTTATTATATAGTATACATTGTATTGTATATAGGTAATCAGTATATACTGCATTATATATAGGTAATCATACATACCTATATATAAAATAGATGTATTATTTATCTATATATAATATAGATATAGTATAGAGATATATAATATATAATATAGATATATATATAGATATCTGTGTATAATATAGATTACACATCTATATAGAATATAGATATTATATATCTATATGTAATATATATCTATATATAATATAGATATATAATATGTACATAAAATCAAACCTACAGGTACCATTAATAGTCATCATATTTTAAAAAAAGGAAATCAATTCTAAGAATAACAAATTATTAGGCATTGATATATTTTAAAAATTCTGCTCCTGAACAAAACAGAATATTCTGACAGAGTTACTGACATATTTTTTTTAAATTCATAAGCAAGATGCTAAATATTCTCAGTGGTCATCTGAATGGAGACCACAAGGAGGAAGACGATCATCTATGGTGTACCATCCTTCTGCCCAAAGGCTCTTGACTCCAACTAATTGAAAAGAAGAGTCAATAGCAGTAGCAAGAAGGAAGCCACAGCTTCGCGGAAACAGTTCCACTTTTGACAAAAGGAAACTAAGCAGTAGGAGGCTCCATCATTTATTAAACCAGGATGTATTTGTATAGCCAACTGTGAAAAAGAGCTCTCCAACATTTGTGAGAGAATGATCCACAGGACCTTTGAAGTTAGGAGGAAATCTTGCAGGGAGAAAAGAGAGAAAAAAAAATCTTGCAGTTTTCTTCCCGGGTCTAAGCAATAGCAACATGTGGAGGTGACAAAAGAAAAAAGATAAACTGATACAGAATGAAAAAAAATTCAGTTTTTTTCTGAATCCATAAGATTCCACACATATTTCACAAGGATTTATCAGGTGAATTAAGACTTGCCTTGCACATAGATGTTCATAAAACTTGTCTTTGTATTACCCAAGGCATTGGAGAAAGATTTAACATTAAAAGTTGCTAAACAACATCTAACATGTTATCGTTTCTGTAAAATTAATTTTATCCACTTCTTTTTCAGTATGTTCACCTTCATTTTTATAGTTATAGCTTCCACTCTCCTGAAAACGTGCTTTTCCAGTTAGCTGGAAGAGACCTTCATTCACCTGCCATTTCCACACCCTGTCTGAAACAATCTCCTGTGGGAAATGTTCATGTAAAGCCGCTTTCGTGCACTGCCAGCATTGGGTTATGCCTCTCTGAAGGTTCTACTGCTAAACATTGGCTTTTAAGCAACTACTTAAAGACACTCCCAAGAGATGTACAGTTAACTGTCTCATAATGAGTCGCTTCTCCTAGCCAGAAAAGATATTTCCGCCACATCCATATTTGATTTTCTGGAAAATCTATAGTAGGCTAAGCTTCACACATGAGCCAGTATAAGCTTATTATAAGCCTATGGTTTTTCTTTTTGCAACTCATGAGGACTCTCTCATTGCTCTGAGGGGAAAAAATCTGGAAACAAAGTAACCTGACAAGCTGAGTACATACATTAAGTGCATAAATTCTTTACAAATAGGGCTCTCGATAGTACATTTAAAGTACAAATAGTGTTTCTACAGCACACCCAAGGAGTTCATTTTTTAAATGAATGAAATGACATTGGAAAGATGACATATTACAACTATTTCCTCCACTCGACTTACAGCAGCTCCACTCTCTTGGTGTTTATAGACAAATGCTACTAATAGAAAGGAAGGGACCATGTTTAATATAAATGTTGCCTTCTTTATGCTATGGAACACTGCAAAGTATCATTATCATGGCAGAATCAATTGATTCTATTATCCCCAGCATTCTAAAAGTCTAAAACTCTACAGACCAAGACATTCTGAATGGTTGCCCCATTTTTTAAAAGTACGTATCTAATTTTAAAAGAAGCAATTAGAAAACTGGAGATAAATTCTGTTCCTAGACCCATCAGCAATGACCTAGGTCTCCTTTCAAGTTTTCTGTGCCTTTAAGACAGAATACATTCCATTGAAATTTTCTTCCCACTTTCTTCATAAGGAAACTGTGAGTGTTACTGACCCAACATTCCCCCAAAATACTTTAAGCCTCCTAATTACAGACATCTCGAAATAGAAGTGTAAAGTAATACTCAAAAATCTAGAGTATCTTTTCCCATAAAAGCCACATCTGTCTTATTTTTTTAAATGGAATATAAAAAAATAGCAAATAAAATTCCATAAAAGATTATTTATGTGAAGCTTGTATTTAGAATATAAACTCTAATGGTCAAGTATGTAAACAGTAAGGAGAGAGATATATATTCAATGTAGGTGTTCAGTAAAACAAACCGTAATACCACCCATGGATACAGCTTATGAATTAAGGAATACTTCTAGCATAAAATAAATCTAACCTTTTGGAGAAGCAGCATATCAGAACAAAAGGGAATCTCACTCATTTGACAAAAGGAAACATGACAATGATTTCCCTCCAATTTTATACAATAAACTCACAGATTGTAGTTTTGCGGAAATTTCCTATTGGTAGGCATTCTGAAAAATCAACAAAATACCTGAAGAAGAGCACTCATTTGCCACTTCCTCTTGGATCATTATAAGAACATTCTTTCAGCATCTTGACAGTAAACAGCAAACAGGGTAACACAACCCAAGAGAGTTCATGCCTAGAAGAAAACCCCAACATTTTATTTAAATGATGACATTGTAAAGAAAACTCAGCTGAAATGACACACATACTTTTTACAAGACTTGGCAGATAGAACACTGAACACCTAGGCTCTGACTTTGACTTAGCCATAGATCTCCCATGGAGCTACATGGGAAAATAAGAAGCCCCAATGTCAGCCCTCTAACTTTATCTCTAAATAAAGAAGTAATTTTGAAGGTGTGGATTGTAGGTACATTGTTCTATATTTTTGAAACAAATCCTAGACTCTATTTTTTTTTTTTTTTTTTTTTTAGACTGAGTCTTACTCTGTCACCCAGGCTGGAGTGCAGTGGCACGATCTTGGCTCACTGCAACCTCCGCCTCCCAGGTTCAAGCAATTCTCCTGCCTCACCCTCCCGAGTAGCTGGGATTACAGGTGCATGCCACCACACCTGGCTAATTTTTGTATTTTTAGTAGAGATGGGGTGTCACCATGTTGGCCAGGCTGGTCTCGAACTCCTGACCTCAGGTGACCCGCCTGCCTCAGCCTCCCAAAGTGCTGGGATTACAGGTGTGAGCCACTGCACCCGACCCAACTCTATTATTAATAACTAGAATGGGGACTTAAAAATGTGATCAGGTGTAAGATGCTTGTCCATGTCCCTGACTCCAACACTTTTAGGCTGGGCCCGTTACCCCTTCTCGTGTCCCCCCAATACCACAATACACCACATATATGCTGGCAGTGTTCCTTTTCTTTAGGGAGATTACTTTTCAGGTGGAAAACTTGTTATCTTAGATTCTACAATTAAATATTATCCCAGATTTCTATCAGAGATTAAACACATATGAATTTGTGTGAGGATAGCTCCCTTTCATAATGTCCATTTTACTGCTGCATGCCACAGTGTGATGAAAAGGTCCAATTGTTTCTGGATATAGACATAAACTTGCAGAGATCTGTTAGATCCTTTAAAAGATAAAGCAACTCTTAGTATTATCATGAATGATTTGTGTAGGAAAGTCAGTGCCAAAACAAAGGAAATCTCAAAACTCAAACCCAAACCAGAGGGTAGTTCATTCTCTTGCATTTATACCCTATCAACATTGGATCATATTCACTTCAGGAGTAAAAAAACAAAAATGAAAACAGAAACAAGAATCTTTTTGACGGCAGGTCAAGATAGCATGTGGCTATCAACCCAACCTACATACACGAGCACGCGGGCATGCACGCATGTGCGCGCAAACACACAACACACAACACACACACACACACACACACACACACACACACACAGCGGTTTCTCCCTTTCCCCAAAAAGCATTTATAGTAAATATCCATCCAGACAAAAGCCTCCGTTTTCCTACTGCTTTTGTGTGCTGTGGCAGGAAGCAGTTGTCAGCTGCGTTCGTGAAAAATAACAACTGCAGACACTGAGACACATGCCACAATGTTCCCGTGGAAATCAAACTCTGAGAAATTTTTTAAATGTTTTCAACACATCAGCATGAAGCATCGACCTAGTTGGAATCACTTAGATCTAAAGCAAATGCACTGATTGTTTTCACAGCAGGCTTTTCTTCTTGGAGCTGAAACAGGCGCACTGGCGAGGGTTGCGCGGAAAGGTTTGCAGCCCCCTGCCTTGGTCTGCTATAGCCAGTGACACGATCAATACCAGGGTGAGCAGCAGAGGAAGCTCAGGGAAGATTATGAAGATGAGGTGAGTGACAGAATTACCTTATAGGGTTTGTTCTTTCTCTCACCTTGAATCTCATCTGCCACAGACAGAGATGGAAAACCATCAGGGTACAGACCAAAAACAAGAGGTGGAAAGGGTTGAAGGGCATTAGACACCATATGTGCTGAGAGCCTGGCTATTGTGTCTTTTTACATGTTAGAATCCTCAAGAAAGGGCAAGTCCTGTAGCAAATCAGGGCGGCATCACTGATTAACGAGAAGACAAATGCCAGCATCTCTTTCAGGGCCTGGAGCACAGCAGGTGCACCAATAATTGGCAGCCCTGATTTTCAGTGTATTTTTTATTACTGTTAATACAACTACTCCTCCTATTTTACTTTTTAGCCCCAGTAAAGTATCATTCATGTAAATAATATACATACATAAAGTACCATCTTTCCAGGTTAAACTGTGGGATGAAGTGTGGACAAGACCAAATGTGCTTTAGGTGGCCATCATTTATTTATTGAGGGCCTCCTCTGCACAGGCACTGCTAGTCCACAGTTTTCTTCCCCTAACTCAGAGGTCCAAAGATGCCTAAACAATTGAGTCAGCTCATTCACTGGGCTTGTCCTGGAGCTTAACAGAGGCACCAATTTAGTGGAACCAATTCTCATTCAAAATGTCCAGAATGCAAGGAAACAGGAAAATCTCCATTGTCTATCGATCTGATTGAACGATCCTGATCAACTGAGTAGAGTTGACTATGTTGATAATCAAATGTGCCGAATACTCATATTGACAATAATATGTCCAAGCTATAGCTGCTTTTATAATCCATCTCCCTAAAGCTTGAGATTTTTAAAAATATTTCTGTGAAGTTTAAACTGTATATAAGAAGTGTCCAAGAAATTCAAGGCTCATATTCGTTATTTGTTTCCTTAAGGCACTGGATGAACACAGTGAAAAGGAATATGTTCTAGGCCTTCCCAATTATTACCAAAACATCAAAATGAATTGTTATCAGAGATTTTATTCTGATTCTTTGAAAAAAGATAAACATTTATATGTATATCTCATTTTAAATGGAATGTCTATTCGTTGAAAAGTTAAAAAAAAAAACATGATTCCCCAAACCTAAAAATTATCACTGCCATAAGTTTGGTTATTTATTTATGGTCTTTTTTTCTACACTTTTAAAATTTACATACTTAGAACAATACTACATAAGCTAATCTTTTTTTCACTTAACATTACACATTATATCATAAGCATATACCCAGGTCAATTGCTTTGAAAACAATTTTAATGTCACATGATTTGTGGATTTAATATGCTTAATCACTCCCTTCTTTTTTTTTTTTTT